AAAGCTAAATTAATTGCATATTAGTTATAACTACCCCATATAATTTTTTCATGTTTTGAACAAACACTAATATTTTGATTGATAATTAGTGGTAGGTGGTTATATAAGGAAAAAGAGACAATACATGAGCTATTCTATGTCCAATTTGCTAAATCTTGAACAATGTATTTTTTAATATTTGTACCTACCCATAGAACACTATCCTGAAGAGATTTTAACCCGTGACTTCACACAGCCAATATTATGTGTATATGTATGTGTGAATCACTGGCTAAAATGCAGTGCCTATGAGATAAAATCGAACTTCCGGAATATCCTTCAGCAGTGCAAACCACAAAAAAGGTCATAACTACATAGAACAACATGTTATATATCTCTTTAAGAGCTGATTTCATGAATTTCATGTCACATAAGAACCACATGTATATATATGATATATCTCTCTAGAATCAGTTGTATAGCTGCTTGTAGAATTGTAAAGGGTTTATTGCAGATAAAATTATCACCTTTTGTTAAATTGCAGATAAAACTCCACTTCATAAGTTTGGCAAAAAAACCCTAACATTTCCTAAGTATTGCATATTTGTCTCCAAATAGTTTTTCCAGCCAACAAAAGCTGACATGGCGAACCGGAAAAATGACATGGCACCATACTTGATTACGTGTCTCCACGTATGATAATTTACCCCCAATTCAATTTTTCATTTTATAATTTTTTTATTTTCTCAAAACACAATTTTTCACATTTCTCGTATCAAATTCTTTACCTCCGTTCTTTCCCATTTCACATTTTCCTCCATTCTTTCCTCCCTTTTGTAATTCTAAAGAAAAAAAAAAAAGTTCCTGAAAAAAAAAAATCCCCTTTGTAGCTTCGACCTCCGGCAACTTCACAAGGAGATTTGATGTATCCGACCAAAATAGAGAGAAGGAGAAGAAGAAAAAGAAAGAAGGCCGATTTCCAAAAATTCGACCTCTCGACAACAATTTGTGGAAATTCGACCTCTCCGACAATGATTTGTGGAAATCGTCAAATTCGACCTCTCTGGCAAGAAAGTTCGACCTCACCTGCTCCGTTCGATTTGTGAAAATGGGCAGCCCCAGCCTCGATTTTGTTCGCAAAACGAAGCAAAAAAATGAGAAGAAGATGAAGCCAAAATACTCGTTCTCCATTTACAGTTCTGTTGCACCACTCGAACGGGCTTGGCACAACTCGAATAGCGATCGGGTTCTGTTGCACCATTGCGATGGGGCTTGGCTGCGGCGAAATCAATTTTAGGAGTGGCTGGAGAAAAAATCGAAAGGATGAAAAATTGGATTTTTTTTTTCTCTTCTCTGCAGGAGAAGAAAAGGGGATGAATTGATTAGGGTTGGGACGAAGAAAATGGGGCTGGGATGAATTGATTAGGTGACGTGTCAATGAGGTGGCTGATGACGTGGAGCTGATTTTTATAATAAGAGTGCCACGCAATCAAGTCCGGTGCCATGTCATTTTTTCGGTTCGCCATGTCAGCTTTTGTTGGCCGGAAAACCATTTGGAGACAAATATGCAATACTTAGGAAAGGTTAGGGTTTTTTTTTGCCAAACTTAAAAAGTAGAGTTTTATCTGCAATTTAACAAAAGGTGAGAGTTTTATCTGCAATTAACCCAATTGTAAATATGTATTTTTACCTATAAACAAATATTCGTTCAAAAAAATGCATACTTCATAATGAAATTCAAATTACTACAACAAAAATGTCAAAAACTATACTATACCTGAATATCAACAGGGGGAAAAAAAAGGTCTTGACATAAATAAAATAAGTTGAACTTGTTTCAACAGGTTTACATTATCTAAGTCCTTATTCTATACATTATCTGCAAGATTCATCTTTTTCTTTTTTCTGAACATAGATTTGAAATTTCTATATGTTCCTTTTCCAGGCCGAGATTCTTTTGGTCCGTTTTCGCACTATAAAAAAGTCCCCGAATACACGCTAAATGTGCTTATTAGGCGAACAAATTTACACATCCGAGTCGTCAATTTCCGAGCTGTGTACCACAAAGCTAGGAAATGCTAGAGTTATGTCTCTACAAAGCCAAAGCACCATATATATACATCAACACACGATTTTCATTACACACTGTTGTTTATGATTCGTAAAATATAAACGCGCGTAAAAATCGAACGAAACTTACTTTAGATATGGAAGGGTCATGTTTTTTATAAGAGATGGATTTTTCGACACGAATTCTTTCCACTCGTCAAGATCAATCCTTCCATCACCTTTCGAATCCGCCTCTTGAAATGTCTGCTCAAAGTAAAACCACAAAAAGTAAAATCAGTCGAAAGTTCTTGAAAAAAATTTTAACGAAAAATCGTGCTCTGCACTAAATCGGCAACTCATACTACTTGTTTTTTTTTTAATCTCTTTTTTTTTTATTTTATTTTTTGAGAATTTTCGCCAAGTATTTACCTTGTCCACAATCATTTCGACAAAATCCTCCGTAAGTACGAGGTCTGATTCGTGTAGTAGTGCCAATACCATATCTTTCAACTGCCAAATACCATTTTTTTTTGGGTAAGTATAAATAATCAAAAGTTAAGGCGAACCAAGCAATTTCGAAGCGGATATTTAATA